GCTATGCTCATAAACATTCTCAAAAGTCTTCGTCGTGCCTCTTAATTATTTAAATTCAGACAAGTCTGTTTCATTACATCATAGCTTTTAAAATGTTTTCTGGAGTTTAATGAAGTGTTAGTGGTACGAGTAAACACGTGCAACTAAGATATGTGTTGCTCACTATCTGTGATCGGCACTATCATAACTAAATAGTTAGGAGTTGTTACAAATTTGACGTGCACCATAAAAAAAGCTTTTATTTGTTGAACAATTAAAGATAGCTTTGCTCTATGAAGTGCAGGAATATTACAATTAAAATCACAAAGGCACTGCTTGCATCTTAAAGTGATCTCCTATCATGTAATTTTGAAAATTAAATCTCATTTATAATCTCTTAAATAGGCCTACATGCAATATAATTGGATAGTATAAAGGTTCAAGGAATTCAGAATTTAGGTAAATTAAACTTGAGAAACAAACATTCTGCCTTTATAAGAATATTAAAATTATTAGATTAATTTTTCTTACACCAACACCCAGAGGATTACTTTTATTTTGGACAAAAAAAAAAAAAAAGCAATTCAGACTTGTTCTATCACTTATTGAGCACTTTTCTTCATGCTCTCTAAAGTTCACTGCTATGAGAGATGACCCTGAAAACAGATAAGTTAAAATGATTTCCCAAATGTCAAAGGCCAGTGATGCAGCAGGACCAGTTCCAGAACCTTCCAATTGTGGATCTTGTTTCTATGTGCACTACTCCCACACAAGGAAACAGACAAAAGCAAATTACACTGTTGAGCTTGGTTACTACCCTCAATCTAGAGTTCAATTCTCAGTCTCATTAACAACTGGCATTATTTTGGAAAGAAGGCCATTTCATTTACAAAATTATATAAAGTTTGACTTTCTTCTTGTACTAAAGGAGGTTCTTTTGTTCCGTTAATTGCTTCTCTAGAAGGATTTTTACCTCTGGGAGACCATAAGCCCCCCTGAGTCACTGAAGAAACTCATCTGACACTGGGGACACACCAACTTCTCTTCTTGCTCTGTGGGCTCAGAGTTGGCATGAGAAACCAACGTAAGAAAATGGTCTATTTAATTCCTTGGAGATGTTCATTGACCAAAAAAAAAAAAAAAAAGAAATTTATTTACATAGCCTGTCTTCTAAGTGCAAATAAATATACAGTTGATTCAATAGAAAGTTTTGACAAAGACACAGGCATCAAACAATTAGAGCAGGATAGACATAAAAAGGATATGAAAGGATATAAAAAAAGGATATTAAAGGCTGTGAGTGTGTAACAGCTTGGACACAGGATGAGTTTGGGGAAATATTTCCTATACACCTGAAACTCGTAGACTCACACACCTGTGCTCTAGTTTTAGAAGGTACATTTCTCTAGTAAACAATGATTTATTAGCACTTCCCCAGAAAGAATAACTGTAAGCTGATGCCTGGTTTAACCACTTAAATTGGCAATTCACACAAAAACACACTTATCACATGAGTTTGGCATAAATAAGTGTTCTATGGGTGGTTGAACTAGACTGCAAGGACACATGAACAGCACTGTTCTCACCTTAGGTTTCAGTACAATGGTGCTTCTATTTCATACACATGAACAACCACTTAAAGATGTTTATTAGTCATGCCTGAACAATTTTTAAAAGAAGAAGAAAATGATTTTGAACACTGGGAATGTTTAAAAATGTTTGGGAATTTGAATTTACAAATACTACAGCATCAAATCCACTGTTGTCCATCCAAGACTCAAGTTATCACTTGAGAATTATGACCACGGAGGCTATGACCAAGTTTTGAATACAAAGCAAAAATAATTGCAAAAGTTACAGAACTACAAAATCTCCCTTACAGGGACAATCAAAATCAAACCTGACAATTAAATTACAACCTTGCTTCATTAGATATTAATCTTTCGGTGGAAATGAGTGGCTTTTAAAGGAGCCTTTCTGCCCCAATAAAAAAGCTCTCCCTACAGTAGAACAATAAGGTTTCGTTGAAAGTTAGGAGTAGGAAGGACTATTAGGCCTCATTAGCTAATTATGGTATTGGCATCTACTTAAGTTACTCAGTTTTTCACTTGTGTCATTTTCTCCTATTCAACTGCTGCGGTTCAAAACGTTTTGACTACTTAAAAGGGAATACATCATCGTTGCCTTTCCCCGGTCTAACTGCACACCACTTTCCAAAGCAATAGCTTCAATCATGCTTCATAAAATCCCCTGCAAGTATATTGTTGGAAACATAAATCAGCAAGCTGGGGTTTTAGTATTTCTAAGGCAAGCCCAGGGATCACTGCCTGGTGGCTTTTCCGTGGCCCTATTTACAAAAGAATAAACAAAATTATGAGTTACACTAGATGCATTTTTTTAAAAAACAGCTCCCAGTGGCTTGTCTGATACTTGCTCTTGCATCCTTAATTAGAGAACAAAACACTAGCACAGAGGAATTAGTCTCCAAGATGAGGATTTCTATTTCCAAGCATCTCTGATTTCATTAAGACACATGGCATAGAAGCACTACATGTTTGTCCTCACAAAAGCCAGGTTCCTCTGATATTCGTCTATGGTTCTATAAGTCTTATGCATTTTGAAACTGTACCAGATAGAGATCTTCCTTACAATGATGCTCTCCTTCTACCCTGTTTCATTACAGTGAATATGGGCTCCCCCACAGGCATGCTTCCGTTTCAGAGCCCTTCTTTATAACCACCTTGCATTCTGATTATAAATTAGCAGAATCACAATTTCAAATTTAGGTTCCAGGTATAGACAAAATTATATATGTCTGGGTGTAGTGTTTAAATCTAGATATTAAACATTCCTAGATTTCCTTGTATCCCCAAATTCCAGCACAGTTAGTGACTGAAATGAAAAATGTACAGACTCCACAACCGAGACATTTTTCTTCTCCAAACCACTCCTAATGTAATCATAAGTCTGCATAAACTTGCTTCCTATTAAGCCCCACATTTTCCCATACTATCTATATTTATTTAATTGCAATTGTATTTTAATTGTAATTTTAAGTTCTGTTTCTTAGTATTCAGAAATACCAGTCTATATTATAAATGAACAGTTAAACAAAATAGCTGCTCTCCAAAAAATTAAAGCAGCATTATCTGCAGTGAATAAGTGTATGTTGATCTTTGCTATAAGAGTGGTGGAATTAACAGATTGAGCTAATGCTGGTTTCAGATAACATATCTGCAGTTTTTCTAAGACTGAAATATTACATACTCCATGTTATGGGGAAATGAGCAGTATCTTACTAAGACACTTCACAAACTATAAAAATACACATCATTTGCATTCTTATTTCTAAACATAAAATGTGCATCCAATTGTGTTTCATCAGCCACCAACACTAAAGCTTTGGGGAGGAGAAGGGCAGAGAAAGGAAGGTTTTCACATCCAAAATGTCAAGCCCCGCTGAAGAATGATAGAAGGACTATGTGCAAGAGCAGAAGCAACCATTTCAGGGCATAAAATGGAGTTCTACCACCCCCTGCTGGACCAAATGAGCAACACAGAAGAGCCTTAAAATGCTTAGAATTGAACATAGTGAAGATATTTTAAGTTATCTCACAATTTATTATTTTATTTAAAAAGAATTTCATGCTACACTAATAATGTAATATTATCTTCTATTAGTGCCCATTACAAAATTATTGATATATTTTTTTTCCTGTAAAGACTTCAACCAATACATGTTTTAGCATTTTGTTTCCCCAATTAAATGTCCAAACTTGTCTGGACAGTTGAAAATGTTTCCATTTATTGTAAATATATTTTATGTGAATGTGCACTATCAAAATAAGTAAGATAAATTTATATTTATTTTTATACAGATTAACAGAGGTAGGTAGCTACCAAAATTTCTCCCTTAGGTTATTCTACTAGGCTATATTTTTTTTTTCTTTTCTTTCTTTCCCCAAGATATAAAAGCTCCCCCCAGTTCTCCACAACCTCCCAAATCCCTTACAGGTGTAATTACAATCTGATGTTATAAAATTCTTCAATTTTGCTGTATTAACAAGGGGGAGGGGAGGGGGTCAAAATGAATGACTGCAACACATCCCTAGTTTTATCCATTTGCTTTCTTACACACAACATCTATGGCCCCTCTCTTAGTTTCCTACATAAATAAGCCATCATCGTTCACTTCATAGCCAGGAATGGGTCTTGGGAAAAGAGTCTCTAATTCCTTGCATACAACAGATATTTTACAAATTAGTTTAATGCTGATAGTTTTTGCTGGTTCTGTAAAATATCACTGTACCCTTTCCTTTCGCAACCTCAAATATTTAACTATGAATACACATCGACATACTCATCCAGTTTTTGAAAATGAAAATCAGAAAGCTAAAAATCCCAGAAAAAAGACGCAGTTTGCCTCGGTCTCCTGCTCACTGATGCCCATCTCCAATTCTGTATTTTCTCTTCTCTTGTTTAAGGGTCTCAACAAAATAGACACAATTTTAGGGGCTGCTAAAAGAAGGATCTAAAATAATAACAACAACAACAATAACTGTAACTTTACTTCTTTCATTTAATTCTTCCTGTGCCTCCCTCTTTGCCTCTCTTGGTCGGGTGGAAGGGGGAGGGAAAGTAAATGCAATAAAGCACCACACTCCTACCTTGCCCGCTACTGACAAGCAACCCGAGCAGGTAGAAGGAGAGGAGGAGGCTCATGTTCAGGACGTGACACTGGTGGACAGTTCCAAAGTTATTAAGTCCAGCCCTGGAGAGAGAACCTTCCGCTGCCACGGCCACCTCTGCTAGACCGCCGCTGCTCCCGGGGTGCCCCAGCCGCCCGCAGCCCGCGCGCTCCTCCTCGCAAAGTGACTGCAAGCTCCGCTCCTTGCCGCACTATATCCAGGCAGCAGCGGCGGCAGCGGCAGCAGCAGCAGCGGCCGCCGCGGCGGCAGCAGAGCCGGGCGGGAGGGAGGCGGGGGCGGAGACGCGGGCGAGGAGGCGCGGCCGAGGCGTATCCCTCCGCGCGGCTCGGCGGACGCTGCACTCTGAGGCGCGCGCAGCCCCGGGATTCGTCCGCAGTGGAGCTCAAAGCTGCTGGTTCGCTCCCCGGTGTCTCCAAATAGATGGTGCTGCTGCGGTGGGCTAGCCAGAGTATAACCGGCGAGTGATGACCCCACACTCAACCTGACAGTCACTCTCACGCGGGGCCACGCCCCTGGGCCAAGAAAGGAGGTGACAAACAGCCTCCAAGCTCCCTCTCCCCGCTGGCCCCTCGGGGGAAGCTGAACCGATACCGCTGCCGAGGCTGCAGACGGCCTCCTGGTCCAGTGCCTCAGTCGCACCCGTGCTCAGCGGCCCCGGGAGACCGCGGGGCAAGCGATAAATTCCTTGGTCTCATTTCTCCTCAAGCTTGTGCGGAGAGTCGGGGGGAGTTCTCCGTCTCTCCCAGATCGTTCCTCTCTCTCGGACCTGGAGCAGATTGGCACCTTCCCGCGACCGTCCCCTTCCCGTGCTCTCCACTCCGCCACCGCAGAGGGAAAGCAGTTGTCCTCTAGTATCTACAGGGCCGGTCTCCTCTGGCGCTAGAGGACAGGCGGAAAGATGTGCAGTGTTTCTTTACAGGTTGCTGCCAAGAACAGGTATCTTAAGGGACATCGAGGCGGGGTGAGTTGTGGGAGGGGCTGCGTTCAACAGGCCTGTGAGTCTTAGCTGCGTCCTTAGATAAGTCTGCAGTCTCTCATCGCCACACAGTTGGCTCTGCCTAAGGTCCCTAAAGCACAGCATTGACCAGGTTCCCGCAGGAATGCAAGGGCTGACGTCCTGTAAATGTAAAATGATGGATTGTGCGGAGATCCTACCCCAGGCCAGTCACCCTTACCCCCTCCCACTCACCCGTACACTGTGTGCATGTGCAAGTGTAAATTAAAGTGATGGAACGGTGGCAAGCAACCCAGAACTAACTCTCCTCACCTAAGGTTGAGGCATATCATTATTTCTCCTGGAGGGGTAGGAAAAGATTTGTCACTTTAATGTCAAACCTGTGGAACAAGCGAGGTAAGAGGCACAATCACTGGATGTAGGGCCCTTGTCTCCCTGCCCCTGTGTTAGGGCGGCCAGCTGGAACTGACAACAGGTCCTTTAGTCTGCACTTTTTTTCTGGCTTCTTAAGAGTATAATTAATTGCCTCACCTGAGTCTCAGGGAGCACCCAGGTTCTCTCCTTGTCAGGGATGACATAAAAATCGGATGAGATAGAAATATGGAAGGGCTCAGAAATCGAGTGACCCCCCATTTTCCCCACCCCATGCAATGACCAGATAGATGTGTCATTGACTTCAGGGAGGCCAAGGGAAGGGCTAAGCAATAAACACAAGTGAGCATGGATAGGGCAGATACTGGTGATGATTAGTTCTCTCCATGCAGAAGGGTTTATACAGAAGATTCATTTTGTTTGTACCCTAGGATGGGGTTATGCAGAAGAGACAAGGGGAAAAAGAAGTTCTCAACATACATTGTGGCCTCTAATCAGAAGCACTCTGCACCTACAGCTTGAGAACCTCTCCTTCCCTCTTGATATTATATTTAGGAAGTTCTTTCGCCAAGAGAGCCTCTGTGCAACCTTCACTGGTTCTGGATCTCACCAACTGTACTTAAGTCCATGGCCTTTTTGCAGTAAAAGATTAAAACATTGGGTGTTTTAAGTGTGAAAAACAAAAGACTCTTATTTTTACCATTTCTTGATTTCTCTAGGAGGTCATGAGAAAACCACACACATAAAATTACAGAAGACAGCTGAAAGAGTACTACCAGTTCCAAATAACTTCTTCACCAGAAAGCGTGTGATTTTTCACCCCAACACAGGGAGTGACTGATGGTGGGTGTACACACATACGTGTGCACACACAAGCAAACACACACCAGGCAATCAGGGAAATACAGCTCTGAAAATTGTATTCCTGTTATTAGAAGTAAAATTACTTTTATCTCATGCTAAGAGCTGAACTATGCCAGAGGAGAATAAGGTTTAGACAATGAGTCATCTTACAGAGAGAGGATAGGAGGAGAGAAGGGATCAATGACCTTTTTCAGATGTTAGTGAAATTTCTGGTTAGATACTTGTATCATAAGACTGTGAAAAATCCCAAAGTCCTTTGTGAGTTTGTGCTTGTGTGTTTGTATCTGTGCATGTACATGTGTGGGGTGGGGGGAGTGACAGAGAGAAAGGGAGAGAGAATATAGTATCCATGTGTATGGAAAAAGCAAATGAGCAGAATCTTATTATTCAGGAAGATACAAAGGTAACGGGATTTGATCCTGCCCTCAGTTGACTAACCTTCTTATCAAGGAGATCAGACATCAACAAAAGATACAAAATTTGATCATAAGAATCAGGTTGTAAAATGTCATAACTAAAGATGAACTGATACAGCCATAAAAGAAGGGAACATTTCTGAATGTGGAATGAGAAGAGACTCCAGGAATCCTTGAATATAAGAGAGAAATTAGCCACATAGGTAAAATAGAGAGAAGTTTAAACAAAGTCTGCTTGCCAGGGGAACACATGGCATGTGCAAAACAGAGAGAAGTCTAACTTGAAAAAAATACAGAGTTTGAAACACAAATATGATTTAGTTGGAAAGAAGGTTTATTACCTTGTTATGCTAAGAAGCTTGATATTTGAAATCCAGACATGGATAGTTAGAAAGTAGATGTACAGGGGTAGCAATTTAGCTCAGTGGGAGAGCACTTGCCTAGCCCTAGCATGTGCAAGCTTTGGGTTTTATTCCCAGTGCCACAAAAGGTAGATAAAGAAGTGACTGTCTCCATCCCTAGGGCTAAAGCCAGATTGCAAATTGTAGGCCAAGATTATCAAACAAGCCTTTCATGACTTCTGTATCAATTAGCCTAAATTAATTTTGCTGAGTGGTCTCAAGAGCAGGGTATCACATACTCAAAAAAAAAAAAATGCACTGCTTTTTACACTCACTGCTTTTTAGCCAAAGGTGGAAGTGCTTCTCCAGGGCTCACATCACAAGCACATCCATTTCCCATTGCAGTGACAAAGTGATTTGCCTTCATTTGCCTAGGTCAGTCTCTCTTCTTCTTAGATTGACAGTGGAAGGACAACATGTAGAAAAATTACCTCTGCTCACTGGCCCTTTCCTTACTCCTGTAGCCTGCTTTCCACAACACAGACATTGAGTCCTACTATGACATGTACCAGGTCCATGAATATGACTAAGCCATGTACACTGTGTATGATATAAAAAAAATCATAGTCCTTTATGTGACTCATAAATTGCATTTAAGATAGTTTATCAACTTCTTCATCTACCTGAGGAAATATTTTGGAGCTTTAGTCAGTGTTTTAGTTATTTCATTTATAAAAATAAAATCAAGTTAAACAGAACTCAGGAATCTATGAAAAGCTGAGTAGTAAGAAATACCAACAGGACTGGATGCATGGTTAAATGAAAGCAGATAAATTTGATTTAGAAGAATCAATAAAATGAACATGAAGGAGTAGCAGAGAGATAGAAAACGATAAGGTGCATTATATGTGGAAATTATCTTCTCAGAGAGATTCTGCCTCTTACATCTGCAATCTGTTCCCACAGAAAGCATGCAAGTATATAATCTGCACATGGATCCTAGACGTGAATGGTGTGCTGTGGGCAGCATTTAAATGTCGTTTTTATTTCCCTATTCCAGTGTTATTTTTGTTTACTTTGCGTGTTGACAGAATTCATGTGCGTTAAGATCACACTATTAGGAAATAGGACATTCCGTGTATTCATTTATATTTTTAAAATGTCACAAACCATTATACCTATTCATTTACTTGTCTAGAAAATTGCCTGTTTGGGCTTTTTTTTTTTTATTACCACAAAGGAAGAAAAATATCTACTGTGTATATAGACAGATAGCCGGAAACCTCTATAAATAGATGATCCTGTTACTGCCTTCCCTTCTCCATTAATGCCACTTTTTCTAATGACCATGTCTTTGAAAGTAATTTCTACTTTCTTGATATAACAACATGTTAGATGTTTTACCAAGCTATTTGTGAGTATCTGACAGTAGGTCCTTTAGTGGTAGAATTTAGGTTTTAGCACCTTCATTTTTAAATGCCTTCCTTTCTTAACTGTTCTATTTGAAATTAAGAAAGAAAAGAGGCAGATTTATGGTACTGAGGCACCCCAATTGTCCACTGATTCTTACTTTTTAATTTCTTTCAAGATACATGGGGTCATTTTCCTTCATGGCTACTTCATGCTCCCTCTGGGCAAATAACGGCTCACTTCGCTCTGAAATTATGCAATAACTGCCTATAATTTGCCACTTGCCAGAATAATATTTTCTTAACTCCAAGGGGATACTATATTTTTCTTCACCAAGACATCTCTGGCAAATGTAATAATGGACAGAGCAGAAAATGTAACAAACCTGCAACACATTGACAAAACAATGATCGTCGTGATTTCAAGAACATATTAAGGACAAAGTAAGAAAGAAAAAAGGAATCGGAATCGAGCAGTGGCTAGCAATGAACATTTTTGATATGACAAGGATCATGATGTGAAATGCAGGTTACCCAAATATTGATCACAACACTCAGAAATCACATTTTGTTCATGGGTAGTATTGACCAAGGCGATGTCTACACAAATCCTATCATGCAAAGGGAAGTTATTATATACTAGATAACAAGTCCTTCATACTTGGCAACTGATCCCACAGAACTATAGGTTTGATAAGACACAGGATATTAATATATTCTGGGCAGCAATAAAGTTAGTAATTAAATTTGAAAATGTCTAATTGCACAGAACCATTTAGTTCTTCCCTTTGTGGAAGTATGTTTCTGTTAATTTTCAAGTTAGATAAACGATTCTATCCATTGCAGATATACTAATGGCAATAATGGAATTCCTTCCTATTTAACGACAGACCTTTAGTAGTCCATCTAACAATCAACCAAAGTCCATTATTAGAATACACATATTCTCTTATTTTAGTATTAAATACTTAAGAAAAAAACACCTTTTATTTTACTTTTACATGAGAAGATCCTTACTCATTTTTAAGGAAAATGACACATTCCCTCTGCCACCATTAGTTGTCATGAGTCTTCAGTTTAACTAAATACATATTTAACACCTATTACAGGATTTTAATACTGGCAGTCAAATCCAGTAGTAAAACCAAGGAAGCTAACACTTAGGGAAGAAACTGACCTGATTATATACAGTGTGGCTATGTAAAAAGAATTAGAACAGAAAAACAAAACTAAATGTTGTAAATGTTATATTATAAATCAATCTTAATTTCCCCAAATGCTTACATGATACATATGAAAAAAAAATCAGAAATGCCTATTCTCTATCAATCAGAGTGAATCTCTTGAAACTTTTGGAACATTTTGTCCTAATAGTTCATGTTTTCTTGATATAGCTCATGATAATACTATTTGACATCTTTTACTTTGTTTTATAAAGAAACATTTTATATTGTCATTAATTTTATCAATAGGAATTTAATAAATTTATTTGATCCCATGGCATTTGTCCTAGTACTCTTTTATCAATTTTATACCACTAAGATATTAGAGTTTCTATATGACTTTTATAATAAATAAGAATGCAATATGAATCTTTGTCCATAGAGCTTTAAAAATACATTAAAAATTAAATCATTAGACAACTAGGAGTTAAATAACTTGGCCAAAAAATGCATGAATATTTGTAGGTACTCAATTCATATTACCTTATTTTGCAAATCATAATTTTCTGTCTTCTAGAGAAGATGTAAATGTACTAACTTCCATCAATGTTTACTATTTATTTATTTTATATTTTGTGTATGAAATTCCTGAGAACTTCTGTAATTTCTTCCTTTAGTCAATTGAATTATCAGAATGTATATAAATTTGCATATCCATATTTGTCAAATTTGCAGTATGCCAAAGGACTTCTGCCCCTTAATATCAATATATATTTAACCCTACTTTTCTGCTCCAAGATCCAGAAACTCCCACTATATTTATTAGGATAAAATGTTAAAAATTTCAGTGAACATGAGGGATCACATACTTACAATTAGTTAACCAGCAACATACTTACTCTTTTAATTGTACACAACATCCACTGCAAATTAAGTTTAAGTATCACAAATTCATTTGCCACTAGGGATATCTGAGGATGGCTGAGGACCACTGGTATGTTCTACATATAAAGTCAGGTAGGTTTTATCAGTGGCTGCATTTTTGCTCTCCTCTTGAGGGTACTGTTTGTGTCTTATGACAGACTTCCCAGGGCTCTATCTTTCTGTATCAAACTTCTCTGGATGTTTGAACACAGCCACATGCTTTGAGTCTTCAGGGCTCAAGCAAAGATGTTTAATAAAGCACATTGATAGTATGAGAATAACAAAAACACAATAAAGCATTAAAAAGAAACCTCACTTTAAAAAAGAGATACCTATCCTTTCTTCGAGAGACCATTGCCCATTTCTTTGATTCCCATACAGGATCTCTTAGTGGACTCTTTCCTGTTGCTATGAAAGTTTTAGACACCAATCACCAGCTCAAGAAGAGTTTACCACTGAGGACTGTTTTGTCCCTCGGAAAACATTTAGCAATGTTTGGAGACATCTTTGCTTTGTCATGATTGGGATTTGGTGCTTCAGGCATCCAGTGGGGAGTCCAGGGGTACTAATAAAAAATTTACATGCACGAGGAGGTTCTAGACAAAAAATAATTATTTATTTCAAAATGTCAATGGAGGAACCCTACTCTGAGTTCTCTTTCCTGTTCTGAACCCAGGGACAATTCCCTGAATCCCAAGTAAAGGGAAAAATGAATTTGTTTAACTGAAACCAAAAGTCTATCCCATTTTCTTCTTCTTTTTAAAAAAATATTTATTTTTTTAATTGTAGCTGGACACAATACCTTTATATTATTTATTTATTTATTTATTTATTTATTTATTGGTGGTGCTAAAGATCGAACCTAGGGCTGTGCATGTCCTAGGGAAGCGCTCTACCACTGCGCCACAACCCCAGCGCTATCTCATTTTCTTCTTACAAATACTTTTAATGATGTAATCCCATCCTTCAGAGCAAAACTTGACAAAATAGTCACACTTTATTAAAATAAAGACAAAAAGATAAGCATATTTCTAGAAAGGTCTGTGTTGCTAATCATTCAAATAGTTCATGGTTCAAAGTAATAACGTTACATTTAAGGTGGAAACAGCTTCAGGGATACCTTCATTAGGTCAGAGGCATTCCAGGAAAATGTATGTGTACATGCTTTTGATCTTCATGTTGGACTCATCAAAGGAATAAGAAAGAAAATTTATCTGACCCAAATTCAAAGATGCAGAAATGGCTAAAATTCTCCAGAAATGGCTTCTTACAAAATTTTAAGAAATATGTTCAGAGTGCTGAAATAATTGTGTCAATTTATTTT